TTATTACAAAATAGATTATCTCCTTGTAAAGTTATATAACTCGTAGCATTCTTAAACTCTGCTACAACTTTATCACCTCCTCCTGTCTGATTACTAAATAATACTCCTGCTACAGGACTTATATTTATCGTTGAATTGTTTCATGTTAATCCACTATGAATAACAGTAGGGGCGGAACAACCAATAATAGGATTGGCACTAAACCTATTAGTAAAATCTGACTTGGGAACTCGTAAATCTAAATTATCAATATCTGTATCACTATAACCACCACCACCACCTACTAAGGCATCTACTTCGGTTTTATTATAATAATTTGTCCCTAATTGTGTGTTAGTCTGATAATTAGTTGATAAGTTTGTGTCTATTTGAGTTTGTGTGTAATAATTAGTAAAGGTCGTGTCTATTTCTGTTTTATTGTAAAAGTTAGTCGTGAGTTGGGTGTTTGGTAGTCGGTGTCTAATAGATGTGTTAAAGAACTAATATTTTGAAAGTTTTGTAATTGCTGTGTTTAAAACTGCTATGTCTGCGGTGTTTGTTGCTATGTCTGTTGCGTTTGCTGTGTTGATGTCTCCTAATTCTGTTTTTCTTGCGTATAAGTCGCTTAAATCAGTTCCACTGACTACAATATTACTGCTGTTAATGTGTTTGTATTATTCAATGTCAAAGGCATTCGTCAATATTAGTAAAATAGATAATCATTTTATTAATATACTTAGTTCTCGTTTTGTTGGTTTAGATATGCTTGATGTTGTTTAGAATATTGATGACGGGATTTGGAGGCATTCCTCATTCCAACACCACATTCACAAGTAAATATTTGTTTATCAAATGTTGTTAGTTCCTCTTTGTTGTCTTGCCATCTTTGTTTGCGATATTCTTGCCACTTCTCCTTTTGTTCCTCCATTCGCTCTTTGTGTGTTCTGTCTTCTATTTTTCCGTTAAGTGTTCCTATCTTTCCTATGTAATAACATTCTCTCGCTTTTAACTGGTCTTTGCTTTCACACGGAATTCTTCTAATAATTCTACGTAAAATTGTTACTTCCTAAACTCACGCATTTTAATACAAAGTTGTATAGTTTGTGATTTTCTGCTATTAACTTCACGACGATGCTTTGATAATATGTTGCTTAAACTTTGACAAGTTGAACCCACATAAACTAAACTTGATTCAATATAGTTGTAAATGGCATATATTTTACCATTAGCATAATCTTTTGTTCTCTTTGCTTCCATATATTACTATAAAATGTTATTTATTTATAACATTTTATTCTAATTATTGAATGAGTCAAAAACTTTCAAACCAAGGTCATATATTTCCAGTATCTGTTCTGATAATAGCGTGATATACAACTGGTCTGGCATATCGGCAGAATTAATTGCAGCGTTTGCTGGTTTTACTCTGAAAAGCATTTGTTGCCCTGCTCTTGTATTAATTCCTGTATAACTACTGTCGGGGGCTTTTTCAAAACTAAAAGCAAAGATACACTGACGGTCTCTATATTGTTTAAAATCAACGACAAAGAATGTTGATGAAACATAGGTAAGTTTAACGCCTTTCGCAAATGATAGAATGCTTCGGACATAGAATTACAGGGGTATTCGGGGTATAGTTTAGAACCTAATTGAATTTGAAATTGAAGGTCATAATTGGCGTCATATACTCCCTCATCTGCTTCATCCGACGCTTGATGTGGATGATAAAATCTACAGAATTCCTTGTCGCAGTATTCATAACCTATACTTGGAATTCCTGACTTATAGAAAGTAATGAAAGATGCTACTAATTTAGATACTGAACGAATCACTTGAACGCTAATATCAGTTAATCCCGCTACTGTTTGGGATTGAGTAATATAAGTTGTATATGTAATAGGCAATCCTTTTCCTTCTAAAAGATGCTTAACATATTCATTATTTAAATTTATATGTAAGGTGCAGACATCGCAAACAATGCGAGCATTATTAATTTCCCAGTCAACGCTTGTATTTGTAAAATTCGCACCTGGTGTTGCTACATTATCAACGTCGGTAGTAAACAGTATTAGCGGTGTCATCTCTATAGTCAATAATACAATCAGTAGCATTCGTTACTAATTCTAGTTCAATAGTTAAGTTTCCCATATATTTTAAAGGTAAATATTTAAATTGAGAGAAGAGACCACATAATGGTTTAAATCCGACTGTCATTTTGTCCTTAAACCCTAAACAATTTACACCATTGACTTCGGGGATTAACTCAGAACCAACATTATTAACTAATGTTTCAGCTTCGTCATCATATCTATAACCGAAACCTTCATTCGCTTCGTCTTTTCGTGCTCCTTGCGACATCATCTTAGAAAACATGTGATGAACTCGGTTATAATTATCAAAATCTTCTACTACTTGATTACCAGCAATAATTCGCATTCTTCTAAAGAAACAATAAGGCGGGGATAAAGGACGAAGTTTATTGTTATACGCACCAATGTCAAACTATTTGATTAATTATAATATTAACAATTATATTTAATTAACATTTCTACATTAATTTATATATTAGATGGAGACATTCAGCCCCGGGGGTATTTTAATTGACAACCTCTCATTTAAATTAAACAAAGGCAGTTCATACATCGTAGATCGCCGTTCTGTGTCATTCTGGCCGAATGGTAGTAATATTTACAAAAGCAATAGTGGTAATCGTGTCTTAAAATTTTCATTAAACGGCGAAGATAATACATGGTTAGACCCTCAAAGCGTAAGAATTTTCTTTACATTACAAAACTTAAAAATTATATGAAATGTCTTTATTATTCTATTTTTGCTTTTAATCTCTTTAACTATATTATTTCCCTCATTATCTTCTACTAATTGCCTTATCTCTTCGTAGGCATTTTGTTTAAACTTCTTCTCCTTCGGTTTCTTCTCCATCTGTTGGTATGATGTCGCTTTGTTGTTGAACATTACTACTATTATTTAGATTATTTAATGCTTCTTGATGTTTTTTTTCTTCGCAAATGTAAGGGTTTATTCTTTTTGTTATGAACCGTGCCACAGACATCACAAGTCATTTTTACACTTGTTATTTCATTATAACGCTGTTTGCGTTTAGCACAAATATTTTCCTGTCTTTTCTCATAATATTGTTTGTCTTTCTCCCTTATCTTTTCTTTATAATATTGCTTATATTCCTTCTTTGTTCTTCCTGCAACTTGTTCATTCAATGTTGCTATTTCTCTCATCCATTCACCTTCCCTCTTATTCAGTTGCTCGGAATTTTCACAAGGGTAGTTTTCAACAAGTTCAATGTAAAAGTGTTCTATACCAATTTCACGCATTTCATTGTATAATGCTGTTTCTTTACCTTCCTTAACTTCGTTCTATGGTTCATCATTCTTTTCACCAACCTTTGACAAGTTGCACCGGCATATACATCATTTGTTTCACTGTTTAATATCTTGTAAGTCTTTCCATCTTGATATTTCATACTGAATATTACTATATTATACTTCTATGTCTTTAATTATGTTTCAAATTGTTCCATACAGTCTTCTCGTGTTATGGGTTCATTTCCACTTTTGTTTTTAACATTAGCAATATCAGCATCACTATGAGTATCAAGTGGATTTAAAGAGCTTCTGTTTAAGTTAATAGTGGCATTATCAAACAGACTAACAACATCACCTGCTTTTCGTATCCTCAAATTTGTTTCAGTGTCTTCAGGTCGTTGTCCTGATACAAAAGGCGAACCATAACTGCGACTACGAAAAATATTACCATAATCGTTATTTATTGTTGTCCCACTGCTGAACCTAAACTATGACTAATAATATCAGTAATGCCTGTAAGTTGTTTACTGTCTATTTCAATAGACCCGTCTTGACTAAATCTATCTACATCTTTATATTTTTTGTATGTCGCGTCTGATAGAATGGCAGTTTTACATCATCAAAGGCATCTTGTAAAGATTTAGTCCCAGCAATGTGTAAAATAGAACCAGTTTGGTATATCCCGTCAGGATTTTCATATGCTAATTTAAGTCCTTGCGTGTCCGTTAAGAATGTCTCTGTCCCTGCTATTTCATCTCTAACTTCATTATGTATTGTTCTTCGTGTGTTAGGTGCTTTATATAAAAGTTCAATTGTTTTTATTATTTTGTTTAAACATAAAAAAAACTAAAAAAAAAAAAAAAAAAAAAAAAAAAAAAAAAAAAAAAAAAAAAAAAAAAAAAAAAAAAAACTTATAATGTAGTTCTACAATGCTTAAATTTAAGAAGGTTTATATTGATAGTTACTATAAAGGTAGTGGCACTTCATCCAATTATACAATTGATTTACCTGAAACTGTCCAACTTGAAGATAATATGCTATGTCAAATTGATGAGGTCAGCATTCCTCATTCGTGGTATTCAATAAACAGCACAAATAATAATTTATACTTTATGCATCAGGTTATACCCCTAGGTGTGATAGCAGGTATAACTTATCACAAAATAACTATTCCAGAAGGCAACTATACAGCAGTTGATTTAGCGCAAACAATAGAAATTGCACTTAACCTTTTAGTAGATACAGTAGATAGACCTAACACATACTCTTTAAGTTATAATACATCAACTAACAAATTAACATTTAGCTCAAACTATTCTACTGCTATTATTGTTGTCTTAACTGATGGAGAAATAGCACCTTTAGCGGGTAGTTTTAGCGACCCTGTTGATGTTAATAATCTGAATTCAATAAACCAAGTATTAGGTAATACAACACCCGCTTGAGGTGTCGGGGAAGGAGGTTGTTTTGATTTTGTTTGTGTGTTGGGATTTGGTGTTGTGTTGGTAGGTGCTTTGTGTTTTGGGTTGTATTATGGATTATTGTATTGGTTTTGGGAGGTGCTTTGTGTTTTGGGGATTTGGGAGGTTGAAATCTTAGGCGGTTTGAGAAATGAGGTGAAAGTGTAGGGGGGAGTATAGGATGTAAGGTGTGGGGTTAGCCTATGCTTGCTCTTACCCCCGCCTTGTGCCCCATGTGCTCGCTGAAGGCGAAGTTGGCGTTCTTTTCCAGGTCCTGGCGAAACTGGAAAGGACCTCAAAGCAACGTTTGACCCCCCCCCAAACAAAAAAAACAGCGTTCCGGTAGAAGGATACATCCAAAACCGACCAGCTTTACAAGAAACCGGATCCTCTCAATTTGCGGGCAAGAATGGCTTTCAAACTGGCCCAAGTGTATCGCTTTAAGGGAGCCGGCAAAACCTCTCCCCACTCCCCAAGAAGGCTCTCGCCCTTCAATCCGAAGTTCTACAAAGGGTCTACAAAGGGTCTAGGAGTCCTTGCTCCGAATGATGGAAACCAGGTCTTTGCAACTTGAAACCCGGTGTTTCCGAGGATAGTAGTTTGGAGTCTGGCTTTGAAAAGAAGCCAAAGCACAAGCCAGCCATGTGTTGTCTTCCTATATGTTGAAACGAACCCATGTGTGTATGTATGTCTGTCTGTCTGTATGTAATGCAATGCGCAGTGTAGTGTAGCGTAGTGTAGTGTAGTGTATGTAATGTAAATGTAATGCAATGTAGTGTAGTGTAGTGTAATGTAGTGCAGTGCAGTGTAGTGTAGTGTAGTGTCATGTAGTGTAGTGTAGTGTAGTGTAGTGTAGTGTAGTGTAGTGTAGTGTAGTGTAGTGTAGTGTAGGTAATGTAATGTAATGTAATGTAATGTAATGTAATGTAATGTAATGTAATGTAATGTCGTGTAGTGTAGTATAGTGTAATGCATGTATGTATGTGTGTCATGTATGTATGCATGTATGTACGTACGTATGTATGTAATGGAATGTAATGTAATGCAATGCAATGCAATGCAATGTAATGTAATGTAATGTACTGTAATGTAATGTGGTGTAATGTAATGTAGTGTAGTGTGGTGTAGTGTAATGTAGTGTAATGTATGCATGTATGCAATGTAATATAGTGTAATGTAATGTAATGTAGTGTAGTGTAGTGTCGTGTAGTGTGGTGTGGTGTGGTGTGGTGTGGTGTAGTGTAGTGTAGTGTAGTGTGTAGTGTAGTGTAGTGTATGTCATGTATGCAATGTAAATGTAGTGTAATGTAATGTAATGTAGTGTAGTGTAGTGTAATGTAATGTAGTGCAGTTCAGTGTAGTGTAGTGTAGTGTAGTGTGTAGTGTAGTGTAGTGTAGTGTAGTGTAGTGTAGTGTATTGTAGTGTATGTAACGTAATGTAATGTAATGTAATGTAAATGTAAATGCAATGTAATGTAATGTAATGTAATGTAGTGTAGTGTAGTGTAGTGTAATGTATGTATGCATGTATGTATGTATGTATGTGTGTGGGCATGTGTGTGTGGGTTTGTGTATGTGTCTTTGTATGTGTGTGTATGTGTGTGTGTGTGTCCATGTGTGGGTGTATGCGTGTATGGTATTGAATACGTCCGTGCGTACGCGTGTGTGTATGTGTGTGCGTGCGCTTTATGTGTGTATGAGCGCATGTGCGCTGTGCGCGTTGTTTTCTGTAACTTTTGACCCGTTTCTACCGTAGAGCGGGCCCAACAGGCAGGGAGTCTAGCACGGGGCTCTTTCTGAAGGCGCTCCAGCACTTCCATCATCATCCGCAACCAGCGAGCGTGGAAGAGCTTGCACACACAAATACACATGATTGATGAAAACAACAGAAGATATCGGGCTTCACAATTGAGTAGCATAGGCGCTTCTCACATTTCAGGTCCCATCTGTCAATCACGGGGTTGCCTTTTGAGGAGCCCCTTTCGCGTGCCAAAAGCACGGAAACTCCAAAAGGGATTCCTCCAATGGAGTCACAATCAAAACCTCTTCACAAAACCCGGTATTAGAATGGTCTACCGAAACCATGTAAACAATTTACAGGGCGGCCAATCGATTATGGTTGGGACTATACAGTACTAACTTTCACTTGAGTTTTTGAATATGGCTCAATTGAGAAGGCGTTTTGAGACATGGCTCCACGAGAAATCCGGCACTTTTCGGGCGCAACACTTTATTGTCCCATCACGTAGTTTAAACGTGACAACGGCGGCTAGTGGGAGAGTAGCGTTTGCGGCAAACCTAAGTCTGCTTGGAGTGTGGCGCTGGCTTCATGTCAGTTAGACCTCCTCAAACTTCCCCTCCAAATCGTGGGTTTGCAGGAAGCGCCCCCCGAAAAAAAATTTGGAGAACCCTCGAAATGCAACAGCTCACTCCTTTTTGTTGACCCAACCTTGGAGGCGGGGGGTTCCCAACTAAACGTTGGGAGACTCCTCAAAACGCCGCCGGAAGAGACCCGCTGGTGCCCAAAGCGTAGGACCCTTCCTTGGAGATGGCGTGTTCCACCGAGTAGACGATGTCCTGACAGGTTCCATTGAACCCGATCGGCGCACGGGTAAAGCTTGGCCAAAGATGGGTCCTTTGGTTTCCCTCGAATATTTAGAGAGAATGAAAGGGCACCAACCGATTTTGATAATCCTGGTCATCTTTGGCCTGTGTGCAGGGGTCGGACTCGCGACACCCATCCTGTCTGAGTGCAAGGATGGCGAAGGCGGAGAACGCGAGCCTTGGTCCATCCGCTTTCACCGAGGATGACCAGAGGTGTTCCTGAACAACTCCTCGTTTTTTGGGGGTGTGAAGTTGGAAAAACGGGACCCTGTTCAGCGAAACGCTTCTTTGGTGATTTTAAGGGAAACCACCGAAATCCATTTTGGGGGTCCAAGCTTGAAAAACACACGCCCATTTAGATAATTGCCTTTGTGGTGACCAGAGTCATGTTCAAAGCCCATTGGCCAATTCGCCAGGTGGGGGAACCAACCGGGGGTATAGAGGGGTACCAAACAATGGAGTTTCGGCCAGCTTGTCTCTTGGTCCCCTCTAAAAATTTCCCCCCCCACCCCCCCCCCCCACCCACACAGCACACACACACACACATGCACGCATGCACCCCCAAGAAACAACATTCGTTGAAGCCTCCTGTGTTCCTAATGAAATGAATCCGGACCCTTGCCTTTTCCTTTTCGGCATCCTACCCAGTCCCCACCGCCCCCAAACGCGCTCCAATCCAAGCGATCCAAAGCCGAGGAACAGGAGCGCGATGGTGAAGGGCAGCTCGAGGCAGGCCTTCTCGAGGTCCATCTCTCGCTTCAGCCATTTCAGGTATGCCTTCTGCGGCACCGACAGCTCCTCCCAGACGGAGGAAGATGGGGGGGGGGGGGGTTAGGGGGAGGGGAAGGGGCAGGGGGTTGGTTTGAAATACGGGGAACCGCCTTCTCCCTTTTTGGGGGGTGACCCGCTTCCCGGCAAGAAGGATCCTTCATCATGCGCACCGCAGGTTTGGGTCTCCAAGCTTTGCCCCTTTCAACACCTAACCTTTCGGAAAGTGAATGCTGGATTCAGTTGCCCGAACAATGGCCACTGGCTGCAGGGGTCCATTGCCTCTTTGCTCGACTTTGAGCAAGACCTCTCCTCTGAAAAATGGGGCCGTCATATGGGTTTCCCGTGGTTCCCTTGACGGCAACCCCAACTGCTCCAGACTAACGCGGAACCCACCAAAAATGTTGTTGAAAGGACTCTCCTTTTCTTTTGGAAGGGACCATTCTTTGCAAATGGCCACTCCAGCTAAACCTCAAATGCAGCTGACTTGACAAGGCTTTCAATATAGCTGATGATATCCAAACTGTGGGAAATATGATATGGGTGTGTTTTAAAGTAGGACAAAGTGGTGGTTGTCTGACTGCCTATGTTTTGCCTCACAACCCGAAGCGGGCACCCGCGGCAAAAACACCCTCCAGCCACCCTCCAGCCCGGGCCGGCAAGGGGACAATCAAACGCACAGCGAAGAGGCGAAGAGGGCTTCGAGGGAGGCAAAGGGTTGGGCTATCATACTGCAACATGTTGCAACACCTGTTGAAACCACCTCCTGTGTGTCTTCCCTTTGAAAGTGCGGAGGATAACAAGGTCCAGACCCAAGCGACTAAAGTCCCGTGGCTTGGGGAGGGGTTGTATCACCATTACAAAGTTTGGCCGACCCATGAATTGGCTGTGGCTCAAATAAATGTACCAAAATGGCCCTTGGTATATGGAACCAAAGACTAAAACCTGCGTAACCCCAGCTCCTTAATTTTGAGCCACAGCCAATTCAAGGAGCCGGGTCTGCTACACACTTCCCGGTGCCAGTGCGTCCAGCCGCCACTCCTTGCGCTTCCGGGAGGCTGTGCTCTCCATAGCGTCATGAGCCCCGAGAAGCCCAAGAGCCCCCGAAGCGTTGGCCCGCTTACACTGATTAGCACCGAATTCTACATTCCGAGACCTGAAAAATAAAGGATCCCCAAGTAAACCTGGCGAGCTGGGTTTACGCACAGAGCTCGGCAACCAGCCGATCCGATGAAGTCAAAGCAAAGGATCGAACCAAAAAATGTCCAAAGTTGAATTCGATTCATCGGGTTCCAGGATTCACTGATTCACACCCTGAAACAAGGAACCTCCAAGACAGGAATCTTCATTGTGGGGGAGGTTACAACCACCCTCTGGTAGATCGCTGTGATTTGCGCAAACTGTTTGGCAGGCAAATGTATCCAATCCTGAGATAGTTCCAAATGTATCCAATCCAGAGATAGTTCCTTTTCGAACTGCCCCCCAAAGGATCTATAGTTTTGACACATCCGCATGTTTGTTCTTTCTTCCGTGATCAACGTCGGTTTTGTTGGGGTAAATTTCATGTGATTGATCTTGAAGGGTGGCGTCGTGGAACCATCTCGCGTTTTGGTTCTGGCAAATCAATTCAACAAAAACAAGCGCCACACTTTGCCCGCAAGTTCCGCATCCAGTTTCTTGCTTTATCTCGGGCCGAAATGCCACAGGCTCCCGGCTGGCCGACGCGCATCTTTACGAATGGTCTCAAAATGCAGGGCCGCTCAGAGTGGACGCCGGTGCCCGTTTGCTTCCCCCTCGGGGCCAGCTTCAAGAAGCATGGCAGCCCCACCAGTTGCAGAAAAACGGCAACTG